CCCGCGCGTGTGCCCGGCCCCGCGGCGGCAGCCTCCGTGGAGACGCTGTTTGCCTTCCCAGCCTCCGTTTCCTGGCGGCTTCGGGGAAGGCGATCGATGTCCACGCACCGCGGGACTGGAGAGAGGAGCTGCGTGTCTCGGCCACCGCGACTCCTCTCCCCGGGCAGCAGGGTATGTTCCTACAGCAGCTCCCGTGCAAAGCCACAGCCTTCCTCGGCGTCCCCGTTTCAAGCTTCAGCTCGGGAGGGGTGAGGATGCACACGATTTCCTCCTGCTGCGATCCCTCGCAGTCTGCAGCGCAGATCTGTCCTCCCTTGCACATCTCCCCGGCGCACCTTAGGAAGCCCCACGGGCATTTAGCTCTGCTGGTCCAGAAGGTCCCTTTGAAACTGGCATAGAGAAAGGACAAGTCAAGGCCGTTGGAGCAGGTGCAGGCTTAAAATTGCTACAGGAAAATTTGCAGAGAAAATTATTCAAACGTAGTGATGGCTGGAGAAAAAATAATACTGCAATTCTTAGTTCTGGATGTTCTACTAAAACAGAAACTTGTGACAGTAAATTCCTTGCTCAGAAAGGGTTTGACAGATTCCTTGCAATTAAAAATAATTTACAAAGTCTTAAACAGGAAACAAAATTACAGTGCACCAGGAACCCATGATTTTGTATCACACAATGCACATGTGAACCTCTGTTTCACGAGCAAAAGCAAGGCCAGCGGAGTCAGTTGGCTTTTGCATTCTAGTATCCTCTCAGGAGAAGGGATACTGTAATTACAGCAGGGAAACATATTAATTTACAGACTACAGAATATACTTTTCACCTTTCACTATCAACAGGAAAAAAAAATCAATCCCAAATTCTTTTTATATACAGTCAATATTTTCTGAAATTATACATGTTGGCTTCAACACAGCAGCAGTGCCTTGCAGGGATGCTTCAGTCGTGCACGGGGAGCTGTAGCGCTGTCTAAACAACCAAAACACTAGTAAGAAGAACTCTGAACAAAGTCATGATACAGAGGAAAAGCCTCAAGTCTGTGACAAGAGCGAGTTTTGGATGCTTCAGAGTGGAGCATAAAATGTCCCCAACTGCACCCGACTGTCCAAATTCTGCTTGTTCTACTCAAGTGAACCTGTTCCCAGGAAACAGACAAACCCAAAGCTGGACTTTTTGCCTGCTGGGAGAAATATCATCTGGAATAGTAGCTGGTGAGCAGTTCATACTCGGAGTTTTCAAAGGGCCTTATCCGACTCTGAAGTTGACAGAAACAGGAATAGGCTATGGACATTTAAAATAAAAGGTCAGTGCTGCATGAAACAGCAGAAGCATGTAACTGAGCTTGTCATTTAATAACAATACCTATGCCTCTGTAGTCTTAAAATGCTCTCACATTTTATAGTCATTCTGAAATTAAGGCCTAACCACATATTAAAGGAAATTCAAAGTAAATCAGAAAGTTTAGGATCAGATTCCATTCCTAATTACTGTAATTAACGAACAAGTCCCCACAATTTAAGGACTGGTTTGCTCAGGTTTTTTTTTACATAGACCCCTTTTATCTCAGTTAAGAACTTTGAAATAATCTCTTTTTACACAAAAACATAAATTCCTGTTCAAATTGTTTTAATATGGTATAAAATGAGGTTCCCAGACTTAGACAAATAAGACAATTCTTCATCTTTTTATGTCCCTCCTTCTTTGAAGGCAAATAAAATGTTTAGAAGCTGATCATCCCTCAGACAAGCACAAATGCATATTTCCACATTCGTATCGACAGTGACTGATACCAAATATTTCAAATCTAACGTCAAGAGAAAACTTTCGTTCTCGTTGCTTCAGTTACATGTGTCAGGGAGTTAATTTAACTAAAAGAGGAAGGATGTCTGTTGCATACTATGGATCCCTGAAGCAGCGTGGCTGTCAACTCTTGAGGGTGCTATTCTTCCATCTCAAAGCAGATCTTCCTGTCTAGAACCTAGGGGAGGACGGGAGAAGTGCTCCACAATTCAAAACAGCACCAAAAGTCATTTATACCAAGTCAGTTGTGCTGGTTTCTGCTAGTAGGGTAGGAAAGTGAATAGAAAAACATAATCGTGGAGGAATGTAAATATCTGCTTTATATAAATTTTGTGACTGTTAAGAGTTTTTAATTGCACGGGAACACTGAAGTCTCTTCATTTCACCTGAACTCGGCTCCTGTGCTCTTCTCAGGCCTTTGACTCCCATGGGCTGCAAAACGGGTTACCTGGCTACAGGATCCAGGCTGGCTTTAAAGGCTGTGTGGGCAGCCCAGCGCTCTGCTTTCTGATCCAACAGCTCGGAAGTATGTACAGAACATGGCATGTGGCAGCCCTGTTAAGAATCAGAGTGCTATTACACATTTATTTTACTACCTTGTTAAACCAGAGTATTTCATTGCTACTGACAACGCTCCAGAATGTCCTGTCTGCACGCAAAACTTCTTGGGGTGAATGCCAGCACGGCCCAACCTCTCCTCTCTCCCACCTGCAGAAGGGGTGGGGGGGAAAGGAGGCAGATTTGGCTAGGGCAGGGATGGGCACTGTGGAGCAGAAAGGACAGTATGGCTGTCCTGGAAGTGACAAGGGGTCGTTATCCTCAGCTGGGTGTAGTGCTGTGCCCTGAGTGCATCAGGGGAGTGGGCAGGGATGGAGCAGCAGTAGTTTCCTATGCGAATAAAGAGCTGGCAATCTACCATCTTACTTCTTGTGGTGTAATGAAACACAAACTTATCCCCTCTCCTATGTTTTCTACCCCAGGAAGGGGAAACATGATACTGCACATAAAAGCCGCCACACATGACAATTTTCAAAGGAAAAGGCTTTATGTGCCAAAGCCTTGGAGGCCGGTAGATCAATATGCAGCATGGTATGACAAGTCGACCAAGACCTTCCCTTCAGCTGGGCAAGGCAGCTGGTGACTGATTACCATTTTCGATGTGCAGTTTGGTCCAATGACAGATGATTTAATTACTTATCATTACAGCTTTTCTCCTTTGGAGAAACACTGTTTACAACTCCAAGGTGAACCAACTCAAATCCATGCTATCTTCCTTTTCCCTTTTCGTATCATTCTCCTTGTCTTCAGGGTCTCTATGACCATGTCCTCAACCCTTGCTGTCCTTGTGCCCTACTGACTTCTGGCTCCTCTCCTGAGAGCTCAGTCCTTTGCAATTACCAAGCTAGCTGACTGGGAGCATCTTTTCACTTCCCTTTGCCTGGTTACTGCTCACCTCCACTCAAATGGTGCTCATAACCCAATCTGTTTCCAACTTGTCACCTGTAATCATGTACAATAGTCTGTGAAGTTGTAAGTAAAAGTGGTTTATCCGTTCACAATTTTTGCATGGTTAATGAGCCATTACATACATAGTTCCTCTTTTATAGGTAGGACCATATTTCACTGACCATATTCATGGTGCCCAGAATATTCCGAATGCTTTTTAGATACAGGATTAAGTTCCGTTCCAAAGAACATACAGTTGAAATACCACAAAAAAAGGATGTGATAGTATTGCTCCTCACCTCTTACTTTACTGTTTTCTTCTGCAGTATTAGGCCATCACCTTTGCCTCAAGACTTCCCCAA